GAACCTAGCTAGATCTTTATTTTGTCTCATCATTTAGAGAGTTCTTAATGCAAGATTGAGACTTGATATTTATTTTGTCTCATCATTTATAGAGTTCTTAATGCAAGATTGAGACTTGATTGTGTTGTAAATTAAGAATGGTATATTGATATGGATGGTGTATTAGGTCATTTTCAGTGTGGTTGTTTCATTATATTCGACGGTAGTTGACCATATATATTCATTTGTTTTTACATATAACCTAAACAATTCGAACTTTAAATCTACAGATTTCCGAGCCGAGTACTATAACATGTTAAATTAATCTTCATTCCATCTTATGTTGATTTGATAAGGTTTGTTATCACATAGTTCAACATTAAGATACGATGAAAATCAAAATGATTAGCGACAAAAAATTTCAAACGCTATAAAGTTGAATGTTATGCCGCTTGCCGCTCAAATGAATAATCCATTTTTTCCCACATATGACCATTCTTGCTTACTTGTTTAGATATTGTCCCATTCTCTGGCTTTCAACATTCTTTTTCATATAAAATTGATGAATTCTAAAATTTTCAAATAAAAATTTAGCCGAAACTCAAAGTAAATTTCAAAATCTGTAAAAATCTGTCTTTTTTTGTCACTTAATGTGTCTACACGAGCAAACAAAAAGATCCAGGACAATGATCGTTGTGAAACTCTCGTATCCTAATTTTGATCCACATGAGAAGTTTCTACCACTCAAACAACCACAATGTCACACTATTGTCGTAACTCGTAATGGTGGGATTTCTTCTTATAATTTTCCGTTTAGAGTATTATGTTTTGTGTGTGAATTCATGATGACTTCCATTGGTAACACTGCATAGCGAAATGGCAAAAAATAAAATTAATTCGCAGATAATTTATTTTTAGCGAAATGAAAACTTGCCGAATATAAACATTGTGCGATTGAATAAGTTTTGGAAAATGACGTAAAATAAATATTTGCAAATTAATGTTCACTATAAAGTTGAATATTATTTGATATAAAAGCGAATTATTTTTCAAACCAAGCAATTGTTACTTATTTTTAAAAACATTCATAACACATAAAAAAAAGTAATGATGTTGTGAAGCCATTTTTTACATACGCCAAATTTATAGACTCCGCATGAAATACTCTTTATGTTCTTCTACGTAGCATTGAATCGCCAGTGGTGGTGCGCTTCTCGCTTTGGAAGGGGAATCGAAATCGAAATCGCTCAGAATAGTCCAGAATTGTTTCGAATCACGATTTCAAAAAGAGGCATTTGGAAGCGCACGATTCATAGTCGGAAGCATCGATGGATGTATATCGAAAGCGTTGAGTTTTTAACGGTAGCATACAAGTTATTTTTTTAGAGAAAATGAAAGAAGTTAGATATTCTTTGGGCTTATAAGGTTTAATTTGTTTTATGGTCCAATTTAACCTATTTTACTAAAATAAAAATTAAAACTTTAATTAATAAAGAAACAAAGGTAATTGGCATTAATAACATAAAAAAAAATTATATCTAAAATTTTAACCAAATACCTTAATTTTTGTGGTTATTATTTGGCCACATAAGACAATTTTGGTTATTTTTCTAAGTATTTAGTTTTTTTTTTGTTAAGCAAATTAACCCTAAAAAACAAAGATACATAATAATTGAAAAGTTATTTTGTAATCGTAAGTTTCAAATTTTCTTCTCTAAAATCTTGAACTAGAAGATTAAGCAAGGGTAACTCCAAATCCTTTTTGTTCTGAATAGTAACCTAATTGTACTATGTTTTTTGTGTTGTTCATTTGTTCGTCTTGTTTTCTGTTGTTCGTATTGTCTAACCATGTTAATTGCTTAATTATTGTGTTCTACTTTTTTTTTCCCACAAAGCA